AACTTTCAGAGAAATTGGGACTTGTTTACTTTTTTTCCGACAGCAAAAGTGGAGGTGAACTTCAACTATTGGGTTCATGAACCAGAGGAGTGTCATCAAAGGCTTTCATGGCCAGAATCACTGGGTTGATGTGAGTTTTCCAGGCTGTATGGCCATATTCCAGAAGCATTCTCTCCTGACGTTTTGCCCACATCTATGGCAGGTATCCTCAGAGGTTGTGAAGTCTGTTGGAAACTAGGCAAGTGGGGTTTATATATCTGTGGAATAATGTCCTGGGTGGGAGAAAGAACTCTTGTCTGCTTGAGACAAGTGTGAATGTTGCAATTGGCCACCTTGATTAGCACTGAATGGCCTTGCATCTTCAAAGCCTGGCTGCTTCCTGCCTCCCAACAAAGGATTCTCACAGGAATCAGACAGTCTTTGAAGCTGCAAGGCAATTCAATGCTAATCAAGGTGGACAATTGCAACATTCACACTTGCCTCAAGCAGACAAGAGTTCTTTCTCCCACCCAGGACATTATTCCACAGATATATAAATCTCACTTGCTTAATTTGCAACAGTTCTCACAACTTCTGAGGATGCCTGCCATAGATGTGGGTGAAATATCAAGGGAGAATGCTTCTGGAACATGGCCATATAAAGCCCTATACGGCTCCGGCCCAGCTTACGTGTCCGAATTTATCTCCCCCTACGTTCTGCCTCGTAATTTAAAATCCACTGGGGAGGCCCTGCTCTTGCTCCCACCAGCCTCGCAAACATGTCTGGTGGGGAGGAGGGACAGGGCCTTCTCGGTGGTAACCCCCCGCTTATGGAAGTCACTTTCCAGCGAGATTAGATCGGTGTCCTCCCTTCTTTCCTTTAGAAAAGAACTGAAATCGTGGTTGTGGAACCAGGCCTTTGGCTAGCAGGCATAACGGCACTTTGGACACTGAACTGGACCACATGATTGTAATAATAATGGAAACGGCTATTGTATAACTAATGCTATTGTTTTAATTTATTGTGTATTTATGGTTTTATATTGTTGTTTACTGTGATATTGCGGCATCGAATTGTTGCCAGTGTTAGCCGCTCTGAGTCCCCCCTCGGGGGTTGAGAAGGGCGGGGTAGAAATGTTGTAAATAATAAATAAATAAATAATGCAGCCTGCAAAACTCACAGCAACCCAACTAGAGGAGTGTAATTCAAAGTGTTCTCCAAAAGGAGGAAGAAAAGAAGGAGTAAAACATTGAAAATGGTCAGACAATAAATGTGAAGTTCACAGAATAGTTCCAGTAATTGTGTGTCTTAATATGTGTGTTTGATGTTAATGTGATTGTCTTAAATTTAGTTGTGTTAGATGTAGTATTTTTAGGTTTATATAAAACTACTATCTATATCAAAAGTTCTGAGAGTGCCTTGGACTGCGAGAAGATCCAACCAGTCCATCCTCCAGGAAATAAAGCCCGACTGCTCACTGGAGGGAAGGATACTAGAGACAAAGTTGAAGTACTTTGGCCACATCATGAGGAGACAGCAAAGCCTAGAGAAGACAATGATGCTGGGGAAAGTGGAAGGCAAAAGGAAGAGGGGCCGACCAAGGGCAAGATGGATGGATGGCATCCTTGAAGTGACTGGACTGACCTTGAGGGAGCTGGGGGTGGTGACGGTCGACAGGGAGCTCTGGCGTGGGTTGGTCCATGAGGTCACGAGGGGTCGGAGACGACTGAACGAATGAACAACAACAACTATCTATATCAGGCATGGGCAAACTTGGGCCCTCCAGGTGTTTTGGACTCCAACTCGAACAATTCCTAACAGCCTACTGGCTGTTAGGAATTGTGGGAGTTGAAGTCAAAAACACCTGGAGGGCCCAAGTTTGCCCATGCCTGATATCGATACTAACTTACATGAAACTAATAATACTACAACTAACACAAGGGGCTCTTATCTGCCCCCTCTTGTGGCTGCATATGAGAACTGCATACGGACGTAGAGGTCAGTTTACTGCCATTTTAAATGTGGGACAGATTTTGGAACCAAAACCCCCCAATTATTTAAGTTGAATAGTGAAGACGATATGTGCCACATTTGGTTTAGATCCATGATGCCATGAAAGAGTCTTCGTGGTACAAACCAACCAACAAACAAACATGTACACATACTTTGGCTGTTATACATAAAGTTGAATCATTGTTTGTTTGTACTGGTTTCAGTCCAAGATCACTAGGGCCTCAACTGTGGTCTCCAAGCGCTGGAGAGATTTAATCCAAATGAATGGATGCTGAGGCTTTATGCCTGTCGAGGGGCTCTCATCTGTCATGCCATTACTCATCGCCATTAATAGACTTTTGTGGAGCGGCGCTCTGGAAAATGCCCACTCCACGGCTCTGGAGTCAGGCAACAGAACAAAGAGTTCAGGGCTTCATGCAGCTCATTAAGAACGAGTCGGGTTTGAGGAAATGTCCCTTTCGGCCGATGCCTTTTGCGGGAAGGACAGAGCCTGCCTCATAAAGGGAGAAAGGGAACGAGGAGAAAGGACATTTGTGTCCTTTAGGGGTCTCCAAGAAAACAATAGCCACACTCCAGACGGCCTGGGCATGAGCGGGAAAAGGGACGTTGGGTTTTTCAAGGATATTTGGATGAATCAGGGAGATGTTAGTGTTGATGCAAAGGGAGGAGCAGGAAAAACGATTAGTGTCCACGTCAAAGGAGGGATTCATCCACTTTGGCTTTTATTCCAGACTTTAAAGCAGTGGTTCTCAACCTTCCTAATGCCGCGACCACTTAATAAAGTTCCTCTATTTGCAAAGACGATAGGAAACTTTTGAGTCCCATCTAAAGGATTGATGGTCATAGGGTGCATCTACACCAGTGGTTGTCAACCTTCTTAAGGCCGTGACCCCTTAATACAGTTCCTCATGTTGTGGTGACCCCCAACCATAAAATATTTTCGTTGCTAATTCGTAAATATCAGGGGCCCCCAGTGGCGCAGTGGGTTAAAGCACTGAGCTGCTGAGCTTGTTGACCAAAAGGTCGCAGGTTCGATTCCAGGGAGCGGTGTGAGCTTCCGCTGTCAGCCCCAGCTTCTGCCAACCTAGCAGTTCGAAAACATACAAATGTGAGTAGATCAATAGGTACCGCTCTGGCGGGAAGGTAACGGTGCTCCATGCGGTCATACTAGTCACATAACCTTGGAGGTGTCTATGGACAACGCTGGCTCTTCGGCTTAGAAATGGAGATGAGCACCACACCCCAGAATCAGACATGACTGAACTTAATGTCAGGGGACAACCTTTACCTTTTACGTACTTCATAAATGTAATTTTACTACTGTTATGCATCGTAATGTAAATATCGGATATGCAGGATGTGTTTTCATTCATTGGACCAAATGTGACGCAAATACCCAATACACTCAAATTTGAATACTGGTGGGGTTGTGGGGAGGGCTTGATATTGTCATTTGGGAGTTGTAGTTGATGGGATTTATAGTTCATCTGCAATCAAAGAGCATTCTGAACTTTACCAAGATGGAATTGAACCAACCTTGGCACACAGAACTCCCATGACCAACAGAAAATACTGGAAGGGTTTGATGGGCCTTGACCTTGAGTTCCGAAGTTGTAGTTCACCTACATCCAGAGAACACCATGGACTCAAGCAATGATGGATCTGGACCAAACTTGGCACAAATACTCAATATGCCCAAATGTGAGCATCAGTGGAATTTGGGGAAAATAGACTTTGACATTTGGGAATTGTAGTTGCTGGGATTTATAGTTCACCTGCAATAAAAGAGCTTTCTGAACTCCAGCAATGATGGAATTGAATCAACCTTGGCACACAGAACTCCCATGACCAACAAAAAATATTGGAAGGGTTTGGGGGGCATTGACCTTGAGTTTTGGAGTTGTAGTTCACCTACATCCAGAGAGCACTGTGAACTCAAACAATGATGGATCTGGACCAAACTTAGCACAAATACTCAATGTGCACAAATGTTATCACCGGTGGAATTTGGGGAAAATAGACCTTGACATTTGAGAGTTGTAGTTGCTGGGATTTATAGTTAACCTACAATCAAAGCGCATTCTGAACTCTACCAATGATAGAATTGGGCCAAACTTCCCACACAGAGCCCCCACAACCAACAGAAAATACTGTGGTTTTTTATGGTCTTTGGTGACCCCTCTGACACCCCTTTGCAACCCTCCCGGGGTCCTAACCCCCAGGTTGAGAAATGGTACTTTAAAGGAACTAATAAAGTTTCCACTAGGGCTGGGCGGTTTCGTTCGTTAATTTCGTAATTCGTTATTAATTCATTATTTTTTTTTATAACAAAGCGATATTGAACCATTCAGGAGCAACTAAAAAACGAAACGAATTTTTAAAATTTATTTCGTAATTGTTTCGTAATTGTTTCGTTATTATTTCCGTATGTCTGGTGCAAGTTTTATGGTTGTTGTTTGTTTTATCAGTGATAAAAAAATAAATTATCACAACAACAGTCAACAACAGAGGGAGAGGGAAGCTTCAGAAGTCCCTCATGTCCCATTTGGAGGTTTTTTTAGCGTATTGCGCAATTGCATCCGCCATTAACGAATCGATTCGTTATTGTTTCGAAATTGTTTCGTAATTTCCGAAATTTCGTAAATATCGAACTTTTTTAAAGAAAAAATTCGGAATTCTTTTAAATAACGAAACGCAAAACCCCCCTAAAAACGAATCGAGTTTAGAAACAATTTTTTCCGTGGTTGGACAGCCCTAGTTTCCACAGTTAGGTTTAGGAAAAGAGCTCTCCAAGGTCCTGAGCTCACAAAGAGGGCTGGGATAGCTGTTCAAGGACCTGAATTTGGTCTCCAACTGACTATCCCAAAAGAGCTGTCCAAGGTAAACCAAGTTCAGCCCAGAAGGAGCTCTCCGGGGACTTGGATCCTACTTTTCTTATTCATGGTGCTAAAGCCTAGCTTCACATTATCGTCTGGGATACAACCTGGAGCAGATCCATGGTACCTACCTGTTCGTGGTACTCAATGCCCATACTCAGGGTGTTGATGAGGATGGCGATCATGATGCCCCGGTTGAAGTACTTGCTCTCCACGATCCGTGTCAGCTTCTCCCCAAAGGCCTTCCAGATCCGGCAGATTCTGTTCTGCTCCTTGGGTGCTTTCTTCTTCCTCTTCTTCTTGTTCCGCTGCTGCTGGATCTGGTCCCGTTGGTCTCCCCGTCGTACGTCTTGTGTGAACTCGTAGACCCCGTTGTTGTCCTCCTCGGATTCACAGCTCTCTGACTCACTGCACTCGAACTCGGGATCCTCCAGGATGTGGGCACAGTAAGGGCAGTTCTGGAGCTCACAGTTGGACATGTTGGACTGAGGGCTTGGCAGCGGACAAGGGACATTGAGTCCGGACAACCGACTTGAGGTCCGGCAGAGACCTGAAATGGGACAGAGATGGGTCAGAGGGATGGGGCAACTGTGGTTCACTTGCACATATTATGTTTCACCTATTTTCTTGATTTTCCATATTCTTGGACTGTCTCCATCCTTGCAACACATATTTCATTTCAGGCAGTGTCCAAGTTACAACCACCCGACTTACAAACTACTCATAGTTAAGAACAGGAGTGAGACAACAACAAGTTAGAGAAATCTATCCCTCAGAAGGGAAATTCACTCCTGGAAGAGTTATTATCATGGGGAAAAGGTATCTCCACTGAAGCTTTATCCCCAATTCTTGTTTTTACAACAAGCCACATTTTTCAAAAGCCAATTCTCACAGGGGCAGAAAGTGAAGGAAAACCTTTTGAACAGGAGCATAATCTGCAAAACAAACACCACAGGGGTGTTAGCCCTTCCCTATGCTACCCAAAGCTAATATAGATATAGTTTTGGCTGGAGTTATACTTAAAATGTACCTGCTCTGACTTACATACAAACTCAAGAAGAAAACCTACAGAACTTATCTTGTTCATAACCTTGTGACTGTCTGTACTCTCATTTTTGACCTCAAATAAGGAGATAAGTAATCATTCCTCCTTATCCAAGACCTCATTCCAAAACTGGGTAGTTATGGGGGACCTTAAATGAGGACTTTGGTGGTATTTTTCTAGCATAAATTGAATTGGACTAGACCAGTGGTTCTCAACCTGTGGGTTCCCAGGTGTTTTGGCCTACAACTCCCAGAAATTCCAGCCAGCTGTTAGGATTTCTGGGAGTTAAAGGCCAAAACATCTCAGGACTCACAGGTTGAGAACCACTGGACTAGATGGTCCTTGAGGTCCCACCCACATTAAGGCTGAAAGGTGGTGGACTCTCCATCTTTGGAGGTCTTTCAACAAAAAACAGGTTTCTTTTGGAGCTGTGTCCCCCAGAATGGAGGAAAGGGTTTGGTCTAGATGGGCCTTGGGATCCCTTCCACATTAAGGTTGGAAGGTGGTGGACTTTCCATCTTTGGAGGTCTTTGAACAAAAATCAGATAGGTTTCTTTTGGAGCTCTGTCCCCCAGAATGGTAGAATGGAATTGGACTAGATGGCCCTTGGGGTCCCTTTCACATCTAACGTAGGATTGCCTTGGAAAATGGTGGACTCCACATCTTTGGGTATCTTTCAGGATGCTAGAATGGAATTGGACTAGATGACCCTTGGGGTCCCTTCTACATCTAGTAGAAGTTGGTGGATCTTTGGAAGTCTTTCCACAAATGTTGGAAGGAGATATTTCAGGAGTTGTGCTTCCTGCATGGCAAAAGGGGATTGGACTAGATGGCTCTTGGGGACCCTTCCACATCTAGTAGAAGACTGGAAGATGGTGGACTCTCCACCTTTGAGGATTCTTCCATAGAGGTCAGGCTAGCTGGCCCTTGGGAGTCACAAATCTAGCAGAAATTGGTGAACTCTCTATCTTCAGAAGTCTTTCCATGAATGTTGGAAGGAGATCTATTATGAGTTGTGCCTTTCTACATGGAAAAAAGGGGATCTGACTAGATGGCTTTTGGGGACCCTTCCACATCTAGTAGAAGACTGGAATGGAGATGTTTGGAAGGTATCTTTCAGCATGGCCAAATAGGTTCTTTTCCATTTCTATTCCATTGGACGTACAGGCCCAAACCCCTTACCGTGTTCTCCAATCAAATGATGGAGCTTGTCATAGGAACCCATGTTGAAGTGGGCCGGGCTGTTGACCATGGTCAGTGGCGTGGCACAGCCGTTGCCTCCTCCTGCTCCTCCTCCAGCCGCCCTCCCTTTGGGTATGGTGGCCAGGCTCTCCTTGCTGATGGGAGAAGGTAGGATGGTCGGGTAGTTCATGTTGCCTCCGTGATGGCTCAGCCGGATGTTGGGAGACTTGCATTTGACTCGGGCATCTTCCACATGACAGTCGGCATGATAGATGCTACGCACCGACTCTGAATCCGGAGGCTTCCTGAAATGTGGTGACAGTGATGGCAATGGGCTGCTGGGCTTCACCACACTGAGTTCAAGATCCCCAGCCTCCGGATTGGCACGAGTGCCATTGCTGAGATGGTAATGGTGATGGTGGTGGTGGTGGTGATGGACGGACGGGACCCGCTTCTTCCGTGGAGGCCCTTGCCCCCCGCCACTGTCAGGATCCACCTTTTTCCGCCGCTTGCTCTGCCAGTTGTTGTAGAGGCGCAAAGTCCGGCGCTTGGCCTTCCGGTAAATGTGGCAGAGGTACTTGAGGAGCTCGTCGTAGCAGCTTCCTGGCTCGGAGAAGCTGGCGATTGTGCTGTCGTCAGAGAGGTAGCGCGCCCGCTGCTCCTGCATGAGCTGGTTCTCCCGCTGCTTCGTTTCGGAAAACTGTGTTGCTATCACAACCAGGCACAAGTTGATCATGAAGAAAGAACCCACCTGGGCACAGATGGAAAGGGGGAGAGGGAATGAAAAACCCACATTGCTTACAATTGGGAGCAATCTGGTTGAGCCCAAAGTTTCAACACTCAGCTGGGTTGGATTTGATCAAGGAAGCCACAGCTTTGCAAGACCTGAGCAAGAAGGCAGCTGGGGATGCATCTACACTGGAGAATCAACACAATTTGACACCACTTTAATTGCCACAACTCAATGTTGAGGACTAGGAGCCCCCAGTGGTGCAATGTGTTAAGCTCTCGTGCCAGCAGGGCTGTTGACTGAAAGGTCGGCGGTTCCAATCTGGAGAGCAGGGTGAGATCCCATCTGTCAGCTCCAGCTTCCCAAGTGGAGACATAAGAGAAGCCTCCCACAGGATAGTAAAACATCCGGTGTCCCCAGGGCAGCATCCTTGCAGATGACCAATTCTCTCACACCAGAAGCAACTTGCAGTTTCTCAAGTCACTCCTGACACACACAAAAAATGCTGTGGACTCATGGAAACAAGTTTGCTTAGGTTATAAGTATTCATTGACAGAGAAGAATAAAGACTTCATAAAACTACCGCTCCCAGAATTCCATAACATTAAAAGCCATGGCAGTTCAAGTAGAGTCAAACTGCATCCATTCTCCCATGTAGATGAAGCCTGGGACATCTTTGGAATTCTCTCATTCACAGGGTCACAACAACAACAACAACAATTTTGTTTCTTACTCATCTCCTAATGGCTTGAGGAGGGTTACAACACAGCTAAAGACACATAACAATTATAGAAAATATGCATATTAAAATCTATTTCTACAAAATGCAGATATTAAAATACACAGACCAATGATTGAAATACAATGAAACATCCATCAAAATTGGCTCTGGGTGCATCTACACTGCAGAATGAATGTGATTCGGCACTACCTTCGCTCCTTATGGCTCTATGCAATGGCATTCTGGAAAGGATAGTTTGGTGTGCCAACGGCGCTATCTGTATAGGGAAGGCTACAGACCTTGCAAAGCTACAAGTCCCAGGATTCCACAGCCCTGCTCAGGATTTGCAAAGTGAGGGCAGGTGTGGCATTATAATAATAATAATAATAATAATAATAATAATAATAATAATAATAATGCTATACATGTGAGATTGGATTCAGCCAGATTGCTGCAGGGAATGCACAACTCCCTTGTTGCACTGGTTGCAATTCAGAAACGGTTAGTAATCTGGTTGCTTCTAACTATCCAATTCGCAGCTAGATTGCAATTCGGAAATGGTTAGCAATCTGGTTGCACCTAACTATCCAATTCGGTTAGATTGCAATTTGGAAACGGTTAGAAATCTGATTGCATCTAACTATCCAATTTGCAGTTAGATTGCAATTTGGAAACGGTTAGCAATCTGGTTGCATCTAACTATCCAATTTGCAGTTAGATTGCAATTCGGAAACGGTTAGCAATCTGGTTGCATCTAACTATCCAATTTGCAATTGCAATTTGGAAACGGTTAGCAATCTGGTTGCATCTAAAAATCCAATTCACAGTTAGATTGAAATTCGGAAACGGTTAGCAATCTGGTTGCATCTAACTATCCAATTGCAGTTAGATTGCAATTTGGAAACGGTTAGCAATCTGGTTGCATCTAACTATCCAATTTGCAGTTAGATTGCAATTCGGAAACAGTTAGCAATCTGGTTGCATCTAACTATCCAATTTGCAGTTAGATTGCAACTCGGAAACGGTTAGCAATCTGGTTGCTTCTAACTATCCAATTTGCAGCTAGATTGCAATTCGGAAATGGTTAGCAATCTGTTTGCTTCTAACTATCCAATTCGCAGCTAGATTGCAATTCGGAAATGGTTAGCAATTTGGTTGCTTCTAACTATCCAGTTCGCAGCTACAAGTTTGCAAGACTTGTTCAGGGACATCTTTGGAGATCTCTGAGTCATCAATCAAAGTTAAACTTCAAGGTTCTCCAAAGATGCCCCAGACATCAGCTGCAAAACCAAGACCTGCCTTCTCATGATCTTGCAAACCATGCCTTCTTTGATTGAATCGAGTCGTTTTTAAGATTGTGAGCTGCTTTGGGCCTCAAGGAACAAATAAATATCATAATGACGGCAACAATGACAAACTATAAATGGCATGCAGCCTGACTGCAACTCCTTTGTTGCAACAGCTCCATTTCCCCCAATTAAAATAGCTAGTAATGAACTTCAAAGCCTCTCCCGTCCCATACTTACTATTATAAGTAGTATAAAATATATAAAATTGTAAAAAGAGTGCGCATCCATGACATAATACATGATGTCAACCCATCCTTCCAGGGTTATGACCTGCAAGGGAAGAAGAAAAGAGAGAAAGGTCAGGGGGAAATATTGGGTTCAAATGTCCCGGTTTCTCTTCCCACCTTACAAGAGCATTTCCCATGAAAACTCCAAAGTTTGAGAATGGGACTTTGGGGACTGCAACTCCCAGAGTCCCCCGAATGGAGGAAAATCGTTGTCTCTAAGAACATAGCTTCCCCATTCACCAGGAAGAACGGACACTGATATGCGATGTTTAATTTTCCTTTGAACGGCTCGTTTCCTGGGATCTTAATTAAGTCCTTGGTTTCCTTCGTTCCGTAGCAAAAAGGAGATGGAAAACGCCACTTCCCCGCTTGATTTTGCCACTTAATTAAAGCCAATTTCCCTCCTTGTTCGGCTATTTAACAGGAGTAGCAGCGAGGAAAAACGATGCAACTATAATACACGAAATGAGAATGAGCTTCTAAGAGTGCATTTACACCATCAAATGAATGCAGTTTGACACCACTTGAACTGTTGTGGCTCACGGCTATGGGATCCTGAGATTTGTAGTATGCACTCTTGGCCAGAGAAGGATAGTGGCCTTTGGGAACTACAACTCCTGGGAACCCACTGCATTGGGCCCAGACCATTCAGATGGTGTTGATTGTGAGGCCTCTTCCCCAAAATCTGGCAAACTAGAACTCCCAAAGAATGAAGAAAGGGCGAATGGTTTTTTCACTGCAAGTCCCATCATCCCTTAGCCAGCATGCTGGGAATGTTAGTCCAAAAAGAAGGAGCCCAGAAAGACCACTCTTTAGCAGAGGAGCTGACAGTTCTCATAAAACTATATATCCTGGGATCTCGTTGTATTAAGCCATGGCCATTCAAGTGGTGTAAAACTGCATTCATCCAACAGTGTAGATCAGGTATGGACAAACCCAGGCCCAGGGGCTGGATGAGACCCTTTGGGCTCTTTTCTCAGGCCCTCCTCTCTCTCGCCATCCTATCCTTCCTTCCTTCTCTCTTTCCTTCCTCCTTTCCTTCCTCTTTCTTCTTCCCTTTCACCCTTTCGTCCTTCCTTCCCTCTCTCCATCTTCAGCCTGTTCCTCCTCATCCAGACAGCCACAGCGGTCAGACACTCGTCCCTTCCCTTCCCTTCCCTTCTTCCTTCCTTCCTTCCTGCCTTCATTCCTTCCTTCCTCTGTCTTCCCTTCCCTTTTCCTGTCTCTCTTCTCCAGCTCTGAGAAAACCTTCATCACAATATCTCCATAGCAACATTCTCTCTTTGTGACTCTTTCCTTCCTTCTTCACTTTCTCATTCCTTCCCTTCCTTCCTCTCTCCTTCCTTCTCTCCTTCCTTCCTTCCTTCCTTTCCTTCCTTCCTTCCTTCCTTCCTTCCTTCCTCCTTCCTTCCTTCTTTCCCTCCTCCATCCTTCTCTTCCTCCCTTCTTCCTCCTTTCCTTCTCTTTTCCTTCTCCTCCTCCCTTTCTTCTTTCTTTCTCTTTTCCTTCCCTTCCCTCCCTCCCTTCCTTTTCCCCTTCCTCCTTTCTTCTTCCTTCCCTTTTCTTTCCTTTCTCTCTCTTCCTCCTTCCTTCCCTTTTCTTCCTCTTCCCTTCCCTTTCTTTCTCTTCCTTTCTCTTTCTTCCTTCTCTCTTCCTTCCTTCCTTCTTCCTTCCATCCATCACTGGGCAGCCAGTCCTCTTAGCAGGAAGTGCTAGCATCCGACCCTCAAGTTAGGAAGTTTGCCCAGGCCTGGTGTAGATGCACCCAAAGTGTAGTTACTTATAGAGGACTCCAGCCACTATTTGTATTCTTGCATTCGTCCTGAATGTCACTGTCAATGGCAAAGGGACTCTAAGCCTATCCTGTGGTCAAGAAATAAAAATACGAATGGCGTTCTCATTAATGCAATAAGTGTCTCACTGAGAAAACTTTTGGCTGCTGGAGGTGCCCAAAATATACCCAACTTGCCAAAGTGTATCCATCTACTGGGTTCACTGTAGAACAAATGCCGTTTCACATTGCTCTCATTGCCCTGGCTCAATGTGATGAGATCCTGGGATGTAGTTTCCCAAGGTTTCCAGCTCTATTCTGCTTTTGTTAGACCACACCTGGAATATTGTGTCCAATTCTGGGCACCGCAATTCAAGAGAGATATTGACAAGCTGGAATGTGTCCAGAGGAGGGCGAACTAAAATGATCAAGGGTCTGGAGAACAAGCCCTATGAGGAGCGGCTTAAGGAGCTGGGCATGTTTAGCCTGAAGAAGAGAAGGCTGAGAGGAGATATGATAGCCATATATAAATATGTGAGAGGAAGCCACAGGGAGGAGGGAGCAAGCTTGTTTTCTGCTTCCTTGCAGACTAGGACGCAATGGAACAATGGCTTCAAACTACAAGAGAGGAGATTCCATCTGAACATGAGGAAGAACTTCCTGACTGTGAGAGCCGTTCAGCAGTGGAACTCTCTGCCCCGGAGTGTGGTGGAGGCCTTCTTTGGAAGCTTTTAAACAGAGGCTGGATGGCCATCTGTCAGGGGTGATTTGAATGCAATATTCCTGCTTCTTGGCAGAATGGGGTTGGACTGGATGGCCCATGAGGTCTCTTCCAACTCTTTGATTCTATGATTCTATGATTCTAAGCTGCATTCATCCTGCATTGTAGATGCACCAGAAGAAGGCCCCATACTTTGGACAACTACAGCTCCCACGATACTTAAATATCCCACCAACCTAGAACTCCCAGGATCCCATAGCATTGGGATTGCATTCCTTTCACAATTTCAATGCCCTTGTAAGGAGGCGTCAGCTCCAGACTGAATCCACGCCCCTGTTTTCAAAGAATATGATCCCTTGGAGGGTAATTTAAGGACTGCTGCCACAAAACAAAACTAATATTTTAGTCAAGACATCAATTCATGTGACACAAGTCGCCTAGAAGCATTCTGTGCTCGCCATAGGTGGCTAAGGGAGTTTTCCAGCCACGGAAAGTGACACTCTTCGGACTCTATTGAAGCCAATGCCTCATGGAGGGTGCCTTGGAAAAGGCAGAGCAGCTGCCCAAACAGGTGTCTTGCTCCTTTGGGATGAAAAAGGAGAGGGGGGAACCCAGAGGCATATGGGATCCCCTCCCCGCATTTTCTGAGCATTTGCTTTCAGGGGCCAGCAGCCTTGGAAAGCAATGTATTCACGACAGGCAACAAGTGGAAAGAAGAGATCCATCGCTGTATGTAAAAGGTTTTGTGGTTGGAATTGGTTGCAGGCTCCTTTGGGGAGTCGCTTAGTCTAATACAGAGGGGACTTTGGACAGATTGCACTTGGCGACTCATAGTGGATGTATCTGTCTTATATAGATCTGTCTCATACATACATAAATACATACATTTATCATAACAATCTATCTGACTATCTCAGATAGATATAAGAAACCTGTGTGTGTGTGTATGTGTGTGTATATGCGCATACATATAAGCACATGCACACATACACACACAGGTTTCTTATATCTATCTGACTATCTCATATTATATAGATAACTGTGTTTCATCTATGTTTATATCTCATATGTTTTCTTATATCTATCTGACTATCTCATGTAGATATCTGTGTTTTATCTACGTTTATATCTCATATATGTTTTTCTCATATATATATATATTTCTCATATACATACATACAGACATATACATTATATATACACACACGCACACACTTCTCATATGATCTATCTCTCATATGTATGTGTATGTGTATATATATCATTTATATTTATATCTCATATATATCTGTATCTCTCTCATATATATAGGTAAAGGTAGTCCCCTGACATTAAGTCCAGTCATGTCTGACTCTGGGGTGTGGTGCTCATCTCCATTTCTAAGCCGAAGAGCCAGCGTTGTCCGTAGACACCTCCAAGGTCATGTGGCCGGCATGACTGCATGGAGCGCCGTTATATATATACACACACACACACACACACACACACACACACACACACATACATTTCTCATATCTATCTGACTATCTCATATATCTATATAAATCTTTGTCTCATCTACATATATGTCTCATATACGGTATATATATATACATGCACATACACACATATACATACACACACATTTACTTATACACACACACATATATGTTTCTCATATCTATCTGACTTTCTCATATATGGTATATATTTGTCTATTGTCTATATCTATACTTGTGTATCTTAAATATCTATATCTCTCTGTTTCTCATATATATACACACACACATACACACATACACACACATATACATACATAGAATCATAGAATCATAGAATCATAGAATCAAAGAGTTGGAAGAGACCTCATGGGCCATCCAGTCAAACCCCATTCTGCCAAGAAGCAGGAATATTGCATTCAAATCACCCCTGACAGATGGCCATCCAGCCTCTGTTTAAAAGCTTCCAAAGAAGGAGCCTCCACCACACTCCGGGGCAGAGAGTTCCACTGCTGAACGGTCTCACAGTCAGGAAGTTCTTCCTAATGTTCAGATGGAATCTCCTCTTTGTAGTTTGAAGCCATTGTTCCGTGTCCTAGTCTCCAGAAGCAGAAAACAAGCTTGCTCCCTCCTCCCTGTGGCTTCCTTCACATATTTATACATGGCTATCATATCCCCTCTCAGCCTTCTCTTCTTCAGGCTAAACATGCCCAGCTCCTTAAGCCGCTCCTCATAGGGCTTGTTCTCCACACCTTTTATCATTTTAGTCGCTCTCCTCTGGACACATTCCAGCTTGTCAATATCTCTCTTGAATATACACACACGCACACACAAACACACACACATGCATTTATGTCTGTCTCATATGTTTATGAGACTCTTGGTGTTTAGATTGAGCCACAATCGGTTAGTTGTAAGGTGCATCTCCACTATAGAATTAATGCAGTTTGGAACCAACCACTTTCAGGACTCTGGCTAATACTATGGCATCATAAGTTGAGGTTTGTCAAGGCCTTGAGCCTTCTCTGCCAAAGAGTGTGGGATGCCTCACTGAACTACAGCTCCCAGGATCC